AGCTCTTGATCTATATGTATATGTGTACCTACACTTATATCTATATCTGTATCTATATATCGACATCTGTGCCTACACCTACATCTATATCTATATGTGTACCTACACTTATATTTATATCTATATCTACACTTATATCTATATCTATATATCTATATGTGTATCTACACTTATATCTATATCTGTATCTATATATCGACATCTGTGCCTACACCTACATCTATATCTATATGTGTACCTACACTTATATCTATATCTATATCTACACTTATATCTATATCTATATATCTATATCTGTATCTACACTTATATCTATATCTATATATCTATATCTGTACCTACACTAATTATATCTATATCTGTATCTACACTTATATCTATATCTATATATCTATATCTGTACCTACACTAATTATATCTATATCTGTATCTACACTTATATCTATATCTATATATCTATATCTGTATCTACACTTATATCTATATCTATATATCTATATCTGTATCTACACTTATATCTATATCTATATAACGATAGCTGTGCCTATATATATACACCTACATCTATATCTACACCTGTATTTATATCTATATATATATATATATATGTGTACTTACACCTATATCTATATCTGTACCAACACCTATATCTATATCTATATATATCTATATCTGTACCTACACTTATATATATATATCTATATCTATATCTGTACCAACAACTTTATCATATGCTACCATGTCGTCAGCACGATAACAGTACAAGGGTAACAGTGTAACACTCCGTCGACGCACCTCTGTGTGAAACAAGCCGTCGTCACTATCAAGGTCCGGGAAGACGGATGACCCCAGGTGGCAGCACTGGCCGCCTTCGCTGCTGAAGGGTTCCGACACAGCCGTCGTACACGTGTACGTGCGGGCGGACACTGCACGAACACCAACGCTCTCAATCAAGGTCAAACTCCCAAGTCACAAGGTCACCTTTTAATCTCACATTACAACTAATCGCCTTTCATGCGGCGATCTGAGATAATGTAAATGATGAAGACGACGACGATGACAATGATAGCAGTAATATTGATTATTAATTTTTATAATAATAACAATAATGTACATTCTTCTTGTACAGTTCTTCAACAACTTCTCTGTGTGTAGTATATAGTGTATATATTATATTATATGAGTATATGAGTATATATATTCAAGTGTATAGTGCGCAATTCGCATCTACAATAATTACAGCAATATAATTATTAATGACTTTGACACGAACCTGTGCGACCATCGTTGTCGCTAAACACCGACCCACTCGGCTGGAATGCTGAGTTTGTCGTTGCGTTTGTGCTGGCAGGCGTGGGCTCTCTTATCCCACAGCTGGGCTTGTCTCCTTCCCTCGCACCCTAAACGCAGACACACACACACACTATCTATAC